GATAACCCACACCGACGATTCCTGTCCTTCGAAAGATCTCCTATTCCTATCATGCCACAACGCCCACCAAATACAAAGAGGTGCAACCCTCCACGCCTTCCTAACCTGACTTTCCACTCTATTCCCTCTCCAAGCTTCTAACATATCCCTCGTATTACTTGACACAACCCATTCCACCCCCAAATACATTCAGCATCAGACTCCACACATCTGCTGCCACTCTACAATGCAATAAGAGATGATTAACCGATTCACCCACCTTCTTACACATGCAACACCATGTAACTGTTATTTGGCGTCTTTTTCTGAGATTATCCAAAGTAAGAATGTTGCCAAGCGCCGCTGTCCACGTGAAAAGAGCCACCTTTGTTGGAGCTGAAGTCCTCCAAACAGCCTTCCAAGGAAACCCGTTGCTCATCGAATTCATAAGACTTTTATAAAACAGCCTCACCTTAGACACCCCTCTAGAATCCCCCTTCCACACCATCTCATCCCTTCCTTCCCCCTCCACCGCTTGACTATAAATTAATCCCATTAATTCGGTAAACTCCAACAACTCCCAATCATTAATATTTCCGCGAAATCTCACATCCAAAGTAGCTCTCCCATTCTCTAACCTAAAATAATCTGCCACCACCACATGCTTCACCTCAACCATCCTATAAGGTCTAGGAAACCTACAATCCAACGCCACATCCCCACACCAAACATCCGTCCAAAACCTTACAAAACTACCATCCCTAACTCGAAACCGTATCCGCTTAGAGAATTCGTCGCACCCCCTCCTAATAACTTTCCATGATCCCATACCTGCTGCTGCATTCACACCTCTGGCCACCCAACCTCCCTCCTCTTCCCCAAACCGGCATGCAATAACACGCCTCCAAAACACGGACCTACACATCCAAATCTCCATAACCATTTCCCTAACAGAGCTTTATTAAACATATCCAACCTGCGCAACCCCAATCCACCTCTTTGAATCGGGGTGCACACTTTCTCCCAATTCACAAGTTGGTACTTAAACTCCTCCCCTACACCGCCCCACGAAAAATTCCCCTGAATCTTATTAAGTCTACCAATCACTGTTTTAGGGATTGGAAACAAAGACATGAAATATGTAGGAAGATTAGTTAAAGTACTCTTCAGCAATTAGGTTTTCCCCCTTTCGACAAATATTGCTTCTTCCACCCCAATAACCTCTTTTGAAAACGTTCCACCACTGGATCCCAAACAGCAACTCTCCTTGAAGAAGCACCCAATGGCAGCCCCAAATAAGAAATAGGAAAAACCTCCACTCCGCAACTTAGAATAGCTGCAACTCATGAATATGTCCCACATCCCCTACTGGAACAATCACACTCTTTCCAATATTAATCTTCAACCCCGAAACCACTTGAAAACAGTCCAAAACACACCTCAAGTGTCTCACTTGATTCACACTAGCATCACAAAACACAGTAGTGTCGTCAGCAAACAGCAAGTCTATTTTCTTATACCAGAATCAAAAGGTAAGATTGTAAACAAATTTCTAAAATAGCATGCAAGATGATATATGTGTTTTTAGGAACACGTGCATGTGAGATAAGGTCACCTTTTTTATTATATTCATTTTCATCTTTTATATTCTATTTATTAATATATATTTTTAAAATTGCAAAGCAAGTTGGGCAAGTCCAGCTTAAATAGCGCTCGTTGGGCCTTTACCCATTTAGTGGACCTCACTTGTTGGGCAAATGACCAGTGAGCACTGGGCATTTGTTCAGCAAGTGGGATACACACACTGAGCAATAGCCCAGCGAGCAAAGCGAATACCCCAAAACCTAGAAAAATGATTGGCAATCCATTTGATCATCGAATTATTCTAGGAAGTAAGATGATCATGAAGCAGTTCAGTATGATAGTTGTTCAGCTAAATGTCTACAAGTTACTATAATTTCTTTTTCCATTTCATTTTCACTCAGATAAGCCAAAAACAATTCCAAACAAGACCTTAAACATAGCCATTCCATTCAAAATACCCGTACCACAACTGAATAGGACTCGAAACACGTTTAAAAATAGAATAATTGGCTCAATCACGACCAACCAACGGTTCCCATTACAAGAGGCAAGTGCCTTCAGATATTGACTTCTATCTACTGCTCAATCTAGAAGAGGGTAAATCTCTAAAAAAAGTTTTAGAAAATTAGATATAAGTAATGAAACCCAAACAAAATTATTCTAAACAATAAAGTACTGACAAAATGAATAATTCCCAAATTTAATACTTACATGCTAATAAGTAACCAAATGCCTTCCTATAATGAATTATTTTATATTAAAACAACTTTACACTTTAAATTTGCTACTAAAATCCCTGATTGGAATTTGTTTATTGCATCTAGAGTGTGTTTTGGCCAACGACAAGTCTTTATGGAGAATGGCTTGCACATGGTGTGGGCTTCTCCATTTGGTGGAGCCCACACCAAATTCCACACTCCACTTGTGGAGTGCAGTATACCAAGGCCCCAAAGTGAACCCTTGTGTATATTTTTGTTTTTTTAAAAAGATAAGTGATGGTGTGTGGAACCTAAAAATAATAAAATAATAAAGTTGTAAGCGGGAGAGAGAACTAGGAGGATGGACTCTCCAAATAAAGTGTAGAGCCAATTTTTGCAAACGGGATGCTCTAAACCCTAAAACATCTTCTTCGAGAGCCTACATAGAGAAATACACTCTAGTCCTACAAATTTTATATTTCTAGATTCCCACGAATTTAGGCTTAGAAATCTCATTAAAAAAAAATGATGTGGTCTCATACACAAAGGCCAATACTTTCTTCCAATCTTCAATCTCACATTTAGAGCATCCATGTGGTAGGACGCAAATTGGCTCCACAATTGCTAATATGGCTCTACACGTTTTTTTTGGAAAGTCCTTCCTCTTGGTATGCACTCTTCTCTCCCACTCTCCACTTTATTATTTTATTATTTTTTGGCCCTATACTTTTTATTATTTGTCTCACACACCATCACTTTTTATAAAAAAACAAAAAAACAAAAAATATACAAAAGGGCCCATTTTAGGCCCTTGGTCATACATCAAGGGCGCTACTCCACAAGTGCAGTGTGGAATTTGGTGTGGAAAACACCAAATGGAGAAGCCCAACCCAAGGGATTTAATTCGTTACAGTGCAAGCCATTGGCCAAAAAGGCTTGTGATGCTCTTAGATCGTCGGAACTCCAAGCCCTTGCTTGCTAGATCTCCTCTTCCTTATAACACATTATTGATCCACCAATCTTCAATGTCCAAAGATGTAATTTGTAATGAAATGAGTATTTGATGTTTTGGGAAGCATGAAAACTCTTGATGCAGAGATGAAAATCTTTTTCAAAAAAAAAACTTTCAAAAGTGTATCTCCTTCAGTTTTCAACATCTATGCTCTCCTTTCCATGATCTACTTTCTCACTTCTTTCCCATTGTAGAGATTTTTAAAGCTTAAACTTGACTTGTAAGAGATTAGACAGAGAATTTTGTGGAAGACTTGAATGAATAATTTTAAAGAGAGAAATTCTCTGGTGGAATGCATTTAGGGTTTATAAACGCTAAATACAATATCTTCTAAAAGGGTCTAGGAAGGGATCCAAATCCATAAGACATTTATTTTTGTGACTTTTTATCTTTTTTCCTGCTTTAAAATCATAGCTATTTTGTTTAGACTTCTTTAAAATACTCGAATAAAGCAACTTAAAAGATTTCAAATCTTCATCTCTCTAAATTAAGATCTAAATTAACCAACCGATACCATAAGATTTAAAGTACTCAAGCGGTAACTTACGTTATGGCAGAATGTGGTTTCACAAAATTTTGATATGGTCATAATTGAGAGGGAATCTAAAAATATCAATTCATTTAAATTGTTTACCGAGAGAAAATATAATCACTTCATTTATTTAAACATATCAAATAACTTAACCAACACACAATACCAAAGGATGTGCCAGATATTGGCATTAGGCAACTTACCCCAAGTATTAGAGATCCTCTCCGGCAAAATAATGGAGTCAGATCCAGTACTTAAAACTTATCAATCCTAATCAGAACTACCTGAAAAACACAACATTGTTACATAAAGTAAACTTGGTTAAATGAGATCGTAGAAACAACATTGTTACAACTTAAGCTACAATGCCATACATAAGAAGATGACTGAAAAAAATATATATAAATAAATAAATAAAAATAAGCAAACCTTATCTTCAAGGAAGTGAAACTGGAACTGTGAGCATTAATGATAAAATTTAGAAACAATTAGCGAATGTAAAGATTTAAGTGATACAAAGCCACCTTATTGCAACCAATGTCAAGATAGAGAAGTTTTAAGACTTTAAGTCATTGCCTACAACCTCCACTATTGCACAATTAAATGTTCCAAAGGCAAAAAAATTCAAAAACCCTTGAAAGTACTTCATGTTAGGTCTAAAACAATTACCTCACATGGGTATCAAGCATTGTTAATTCAGACGAACCCAATTAATTAAACCAAAATCACAAAAATGTTTAGAATAATATATTTTACTTAGTCCACAAATCCTTCAAATAGCTAAATATGTCACTAATGTACATGGGAAAAAAATAACATACCTGTAGTAATTGGCAACATAATGTAAAGATTAACTTCATTTTAAACTCATAAAATTCAAATTCTGTTTTTACTATAATAACACCATTCATATTAATATTATTAAAATCTAAAAAAATTGTTGTCATCACATTAGGTTTTGCGTCCAATCCGGCAGTTACCACCAATGCAACTGCTAACATCTGGCATGGAGCCAAACAATCTCTGTGAACTCCTTTCAGTCCTTTGAAAATTCTTTGGTTTCTCTCCATCATCCACAAATGGTAGACTGGCAGATAGGGCTAGTTTGTTGATGTTGTTGCTCTCCAGTGGAATGCAGCCCAATGAATTAGGTTGTACTTCCAATGTAGAACCCAAATTGAGCAACGATAGCACATGGGAATATATTGCAATTTATTTAGACCAAAGAATAGTTCATCAATTCATAATAAGCTTGAAACTAAAACAATGTGAGTAAAACTCTGAAGAGGCAACAGTAATTGCCTCTTACCATCAAACAACCCTCGGACGGCTCTAATACACATTACACACACTTCTAAATAAAGAGAGAAATCATACTCCCTCAACAAAATATCTCAATAGTTCAGGTTACAGTCCCTGAGACTACCACAATGACTACCTCCTACTTGCTACAAATCCTATGGGCGTGATATATTGAAGGGCTTCACCATAGCCAAAAATTGATCCACCCAAGCAGACTTTTCTTGATCCAGCTGGTCACTGTCAAAAATAGTCTGGAAGCTCAATGGGTCGTCCATCAGACCCGCATATCTGGAGATTGTCCATGTCACAGTTCCCAATATAGTCAAGATTGTCGCTTAAATATTGTCCAAAACCATTTTCCGCGAAGATCAACTCAAGCTCCAGTGCATAGTCCAGGCCCTCCCCAATTGGAAGAGACATCAATGGCGCATCCACAGAAACCAAATTGGGCACTTGCTGCTCACCAACATTGGCACCAATAACAACATCTTTCATCATATCATTGTGTGATGCCAAAGCGGAGGCTGTATTTGAAGACCCCAACTCAAGAGAAGATGACGGAGACGGTATGTCCGGCATTATACCATAAGAGTCCTCAGAAGATTTTGGGACAGCCATCAAGGAAGGTTGATTGCACCTCTTCTCGGGGGAAGAAATAGCCATTAAAGAGAATTCAAGTCTCTTGTTATCGTAAGCGGCTGCCGCTTCTTCTGCAGTATTAAATGTACCCAACCAAACCCTCTTTCTTTGGAAGGGATCCCTGATTTCAGCAGCCCATTTGCCCCATTTCCTCTGTCGAATGCCTCTGTGTTTCAGGCCAGATTCTCCCTGTTGGTTCAAAGTCTTGGTCAAAAGCCTCTTTCTAGGGTTTTTGCAGCCATTGTTGCTATCCGTTTTCATAGATTTAATCTGCTGATGACCAGCCATTGGGAGATTAATCACTCTAATGAAACGCTTCTTTGATTTGCAAGGCTCATCATCGGACGAATCAGTGGCGTCATCATCGTAACGGAACACCCGAAGTTTCCTCATGGGTTTGCCGATTTGGTTTGATAAAAACACGATCTTTGCCAAGATGTATCCTCTCCAAAACCCACAAAATAGGAAACAAAAACAGAACCAGAACCAGAAGGGAAGAATCCTTCTCAAGATCAAAATTTGTCCGGCAAGAGGCCCCTCTCAAGAACAAATCGCTTAATATGAAAAACCCAAAAAAACCCTAATCCAGAACAACTCCTGCAACCAAAACCCCAACAAATAGGCTTAAACCCACTTCAAATCAGTGCACAAAATCGTGCACAAAATCATCAAAAATATACGCATATATGTATATATCTGTAAACATTCATATACCCAATAGGGTTTAAGAATTTTTTTTACCTTTTTGGCCTCAAACGCGTAGAAATTGCGAAATTGGTGTAGCGGAGAGCTAAGAAAAACGAGGAGACGGAATGCCAGAGCTTCAACGCCCCAGTCACCAACAATTCGGATCCGGAAGACATAAATATTTTCTTCACAAACCCCTCCTCCTGGTTCTTGAGAAAAAGGAGAAAAAATGTCTCAGTTATCAAGAATTCTCAAACCTTCTGAAACCCTAAAAAGTCTAGATTGAGAGAAGAAGCGTCGAGGATTTGAAATCTATGGCTCCGGTTTCTCTCTCTAGAATATTTCGGTTATGTTTTGTCTCGGTTTTGTTTTTATGTTCGTACTAACTTTGCTTGTCCCTGTCTCTCTTTACCGCTGGTAAAAAGACTGCTTGTTAAAAGGCTGTATTTAATTAGTACTAGTAGTATATGAGGTCATAAACATAAACTCCTTAGTTGGCAGTACTAAGTACTTGCGTTGGGATCAAGCAATTCCCTAACAAATTTAAAATAAAAAATTGACTAAGAGGAAAAATTATTAAATGGGTAAATTGAAATACTAACCACTTTCTATTTTTAATTTCACAAAAAAAAAAATTACGTAATTAAAAGTATGTATTTGTAATTGGACTGTTGATAATTCAATTAATATTTAAAATGAGAATTTTGGTATTTTCTTAAAATTGTATCTCTTTATTTGGAAAACTTTTATTTTTCTTCTCAATATATTTTTGAATCATTAGTGCTACCCTTACGTATCTATGTTCTCTGTTGTTATTGAATAGTTGTGTGTATTATACTTTTTTTTTATTCACATAATCCGAATGGCACATAATATGAATGAGTAGATGAGATTGATAAACCAACTTAAATCATTTCAGATGAGTGAGATAGAAGAATTCTCAATGGAATTTATGAGAAAAGAGATAAACAATAATAATAATAAATAAATAAATAAATCTAAACAAAGAAATGTGATGTTTTTTAAGAAATGTCTCGTCTTCATTTTGCATAGAATCGTAACAGGATGTGATGGTAATTACACACCATCATATCCAACAAGGTAGGATAAATAATATAAAGTGAGAATTTGTGTTGACTTTTCCTCATTTTTTTCTTCTTTTGTCCTGATTTTTTTAATTTTTTTTTTCAATTTCATAAATGAGTTGTTACAAGCGTACGCAAAATCCTGAGTTCAAATCTTGTGCCATCTTAACAACCAAGAGAAAGTCATAAGTAAGAGTCAAATAATTTAAATATCTAAGATGAAGGCCATTTCTCAAACCCCAATGTTTATTAAAGAACCACTTCACGCAAGAATTCCGTGATGTGCATTTGAATGACTGAAATTTTGCATTGATTGGCTCTCAAAAGCCACGAACCCTAACATTACCGGTTCAAAGAACAGAGATCTCCAGTAAAAATATTTTCTAGCAGAGTTTTTTTTTTATTAATCGGGCAATTTAGGTGCTTTTAATTATAGTATGCAATGCAGGGTAGACTGTTTTTCAGTTTCTGTTGCGTAGAATTCTACACAAAATCCAGTATCAAGCTTGGTAAAGAATCACAAAGTCTGTAAAATAACATCGACATAACAGCTCGTGGAACGAACAATGGGGTACAACAAATGAGGATTTTATACAACGATGCCAAAATTTTAAGAAAACTGCACCAGTTTAATTTACAAGTACATATATAATCATGGTTGAACCAAGATATTTATATACCTATATCATCTATGGAGAGCCCATATATCCTTGGTAAGCTATCGCAAAACTGAGCAATTAGAATATAATTCAACCTTGATTACTTTGGTATTGTATGATCCACAATGCCCACATTTATGATACAACCAATGGAAAGGTGAAGTTCCCTTGTTTTCACAGTCATTGCACAATATATCTTGGATTCACCAAATTTATAATTATTTTATTTAGCTATGGAAGAAAAGGAACCTCAAGAATGGCAAAACGAAGAATAGACGATCTACTAACAACAATCTATGTATTCTTCTAGGAGCTCCTCAGAAGCTAATAAAGCGTCAAGCATGCCGAAGTATACCCAAGTAGAGATAAGCAACATGAACTTTATAAAATGGTATTCCATGTCATTTTTCAAATTTACTGAATGAGATGTTGTAGACACTAAAATTTTAGTGGGCTTTGGTTTCGACAAATGGACCCATTAAATATAGGCCTAATGTTTAATTAAGTTATTTAATTGGCACAATCTTGATCCATTTAAATTATTTAATTAGCACAGCCCAGATGGTTAAATAAAAAGATAATTATTCTTAATAAAATATATTTGGAACAATTATTTTTAAGGATAATTATCATAATATAACTGGTCCGGTCCAGTTATTATTTTTTCCTTATCAGGAGATGACACGTGTCATCACCCTATTAATCCAAGAAGCCTATAAATAGAGGCCTGAAGGAAGAAAGAAGGGACATAAATTTAGAAATCCAGAGATAATTATCATAATATAATTGGCCCGGCCCAGTTATTATTTTATCCTTATCAGGAGATGACACGTGTCATCACCCTATTAATCCAAGAAGCCTATAAATAGAGGCCTGAAGGAAGAAAGAAGGGACACAAATTCAGAAATCCAGAAGGTCCAGAAATTCAGAGACTCAAAATTCCAGAGGGTCCAGAAATTCAGAGACATCAAATTCAGAATTCAGAAATCCAAAATTTCAGAGAGAAATCTTATCCCCAACATCCAAATCCAAAAGCAAGAACACCAAGCACATCTAAAGTCGTGTCGTTCTTTATCGAATCCACGGTGATCAACAACAAGCACATCAAATCGTGCCGTTCTTCATCAAATTCCACGGTGATTCGAAATCAAGCTCGTGCAGCCCTTGGATCCAACCAACCACAAAAGAAAAAAAAAAAAAAAAAAAAAAAAAAAGGAGATCGAATCAGAGGATCTTATTCTTTGGAATATTATTACAGAGGATTGTACTCGAATTTTCCCAAATTAATAAAATATTTTATTTGCTCCATATTTTGTTCTTATTAACAGATTACAAAATTTATGTGTACAAATTTCTGGCACGCCCGGTGGGACCTCCTTTGCCTCTCATCTCTTTCTCCTACCATCAAGTTTCTTTTCTATCAAATTTTATGGCTCCCCCTAAGACTCAAACAGACAAGAAAGCCCAAAAAATATCGCTACTGCAAAGGTCGACGCCAAAGCCACCATGAAAAGTGGCACGAACGCCAAATCAAGTGATGGAAGTACCTTGGCGGGCCCTGTGACATGTAGCGAGTCCCAGGAAATTGCGTCATCTAAACATCAGCAAGACTTGTTGAAAACCAATCCTACAAAGCTGGCGAACGTGAAAACTCAACATGTCAAGAACCCTAACATTGTTCCAAAGGAGATTTCGCCACCAGATTTACCTCATTCCGTCTATGATGCTCACTCTAGTGTCAGTTCAACCCCAGACTCACCACATCAGACTTCAGAATAATCAATCACTTCAAGGAACATTGACTCTCAAGGCTATCACACTTAGATGTGGTCGCTGCTATGATGACTGGAGCTGCCACGGTGGAAGAACAACTAGCAATTATGGCTCGTTCCATTGAGAACCTCACAAAGACTGTTGAAGAAAAGGACTTGCAAATCGCTACACTGATGAACAAATTGGAAGTTTAGACCTTCGGTGAATCACCAATACAGTTTGGGAATCCTACAACTTCCACAGCAGTACCACCTGGGAATCTTGCAACTTACATACCACCACTATCTGGGAATCCTAATTCTACAGCACAAGGTACTTGCACGGATGACCCCAAACAGGCGCCGGTGACAGAATAGGCGACTGGTCAAAGCAATCATGCTTCTTCAGTCTCTTCATTATTTGTCGAACAATTGCAAGATATGATAACGAATACAATCCAAGCCTAATATGGAGGCATCTCACAGAGCACTCTCATGTACTCAAAGCCCTATACAAGGAGAATCGACAGTATGAGGATGCATGTACGATACCAACCTCTGAAAATTCAGCAATTTGATGGAAAAGGCAACCCCAAGCAACACATTGCCCATTTTGTTGAGACTTGCAATAATGCCGGAACTGATGGGGACTTACTAGTTAAACAATTTGTCCGCTCCCTTAAAGAAAACACGTTCAAGTGATACACCAACCTAAAGTCAGAATCAATTGATAGTTGGGACCAAATGGAACGAGAATTCTTGAACAGGTTCTATAGAACTCGTCGTACTGTTAGTATGATAGAATTAACTAACACGAAGCAATGGAAGGATAAGCCTGTAATCGACTACATTAATCGGTGGCGAGCATTCAGTCTTGACTGCAAGGACCGATTGTCATAAATCTCTGCTGTGGAGATGTGTATGCAAGGAATGCATTGGGGCATTTTTTACATTCTTCAAGGCATAAAACCTCACACGTTTGAAGAATTGGCTATGCGTGCCCATGACATGGAGATCAGTATAAAATCCTATGATGACAAAGGTCCGGTGACCATAGAACCACGCAAAGACAAGAAGAACTGAAAGAAGGGTTACAAGTCGTCAAAGACCGCTGCTAAAAATTCCATGGCTATCTCAACTACCCCAATCAAGATATCTGTTAAAGATGACAAAAAGGATGATAAAAAGCCTCGCCAGTTTGAAGAGAGGGAAAGACAGTGTCCTATGCTAAAGGAGTTTGTAACGACCCGGGTTTTGATTCAACCCGATATGTTAGTGATGAACCGAAGATTGACCCGATAACGGATCCAAATGCGGAAACAAGCAACAAGACAATGGTCTCCAAAGGCATAACACACCTCTAAGACACTTTGATGACCTTCCATGAGGTCATGGAACTCAATGAGAACTGACGCGGAAGCAAAAGACAAACCAAAGTCTTAGAAGATACAGACCACCTCTTAGACGCAAAGTGACCTTCCATGAAGTTACAGAACCCAAGGAAATAACCGGAAGCGGAAACTAAGATAAAAGGGTCAACTAGCACCCCATGGCACCAATGACACCCAAGGAAACAAGATCTGGTTCAAACTAGACCACGTACACCATTATATGGCTTAACAAGATAAACAAGGTCAAGTGGGAACGAACGAAACGAAGTTAACCTGTCTGGGCAACAATCCAAACAAAATCCACAATACAGCTCCATTTCGGTCGACCAAAATGGAGCATCGGTCTGCCAAAATGAGCCAAGAAAAAAGGGAAGTTAAAAGGAGCTTTGGTCGACCGAAATAGAGAACCGGTCGACTGAACTAGGTCTAAACTATGAAAATGGCTACTGGAATGGAACTTTTACTGTTCAAAT